AAGAATCAGGTTTCAATACGAATATGGGCCTGATAATCACTGTGAAATCAAAATAACAGCTTAAGACTGCATCTAGAGAAAAAAAATGCCTGCTTCCTTATGAAGACAACGACTTTTTACAGAACCACCATCATAGGGATACAGAATCTTCACAAATTAGCCGCTGAATCTTTTAAATTAAATAGTAGGCATGGAAAGTTGCGAAGGTAGATACGAATCTCATGCGTAACCACGATCTAGTTTTCAACTGGTCACGCTTTACTTACTCATCAACCTCACGCGAACCGGTTGAGCATAATATAGGAGAGATAGCCACCAAAGCAGAGGACGAGCTGCAAGAAACTTCAACCTTTTATAAATGAATCAGAAGCACTTGGTGTGGAAACCATACGATAAGAAAAGAGCAAAGAAGGAAGAGAGGATATGAATAAGGTGCGTGCAACCATAATTTATTGCAATAGGTAAGTACTTTCGCGAACTATAAATTCCTTTTAGAAAGTTCAAGAAGGTTTGTAGTCGAGGTCACTCCAAGATGTTATAGAAAAGGGATAAAGCAGGTTTCAAATAAGATTATAGCTGTTCTCACTGTAAAAAGAGGAAACTTGCCCATCTACTCGAGCAGTATGGGAAAACATAGCATGATTGTCAGCAAACACTTCCTCTTATTTTATAGCCTGTTTTAATTGTCTATTCATTTTAAGACAGAACCACGGTGACTTGATAGAAACGTACCTAGTTATATAACTCATCAGCAGAGATTCTTCAATAGACGAGGTGGAAATTAGGTAACAGATTAAAGACCAAACTTCTTTCTTTAATTACGTAACATAACAACGAGTGGTTCATATATGTCTAGTTAGGATTTCAATGGGCGATTAGGTCGCGACGCAGAGGGAGCGCAGACATCGTTGGTGACCTGGTTCGTAGCCATTCGCCGTCAGTCCGTTCGACCACACACTCGGCCGTCATGCGCCTTCCGATCCTCACCCTCACCTGTTCGCTTGTACTGGTTAGCTCATGCCCTCAATCGGTGACGAACATGTGCAAGTGCGAAGATCTGCACAATGGCGTGTCGCTCGACTGCTCGCACTCAAATGGAGCTGAGGTGGTGCAGCTTTTGCGAGAGAATCAAGCTCTCCTTGGTCTGGTGCAGGGTCTCACAATGCACAACGCGAATCTACGTTCCATTCCTCCCAGATTTTTAGCGGGACTATATATTAAAAGGCTGGATCTCTCTTACAATCAAATGGTTGAAATTCATGACAACGCATTCTCTGGAATGAGTCCGGTTGTGCAGGAACTGATACTTACTCACAACAATCTCACAAAGGTACAGATTTATGGGGGTAATTATGCTAAATTACTTTTGCATCAAGTTTCTTCAGATACCCGTAACCGCAATTGCAACACTCGGTACAATACTACGCGTGGATCTTTCAAATAACTCGATAGCAGACATCTCAGATAGCGACGCAATTCCCTCTCTACCGAAGGTCAGTGCCATAATCGCTCCAAGTGCACTCATCACGGCAATAATGAAACACGCTAACTCTCTAATTACGCACAAAGACAAAAAACTTGCTTCAGTTATATGACATCAATCTTGGATCGAACAAGATCTGTTCAATTCATTCGTCAGCATTTCGGAATGT